AGTCTTTTAAACAACTCGCGCGGATGCAAGCGGAAAGTATATCCTGCAGTTCGACAACTGATATGACAACACAAAGATTTGCCCGAAGTGGCCTGAGAGTCACACGTAAGCCATCCGGTTACTGATTGGTTCCCACGCAAGTAGCACACAGTTCGCTTGTTGAGAGGATAACTGTAACTACAGCACAGTCTTGGCCCCTGCCTTCTTACCCTATTCTACGCTGACTAATAGGCAGAAAAAGCTGTTGGTTGCATTGCTCAGATTCCAGAAGCACTTGGCAGTAAATGCAGTCAGAACAAAGTTACAGTGCAGTGGCGCGCTCTGATTGCATGAGGGAATGCGAGCGACTCCGTTTTCCTTCTGGGTTCCGATTTAAAGCCACGCACACATGCACAGTTATGAAGATCAACTCCGGGGTGAATAGTGGCGAAAAAATGAGTCATAAATGGTATTCCTTGGCCCGTAATCTATGTCGATAAAAATTATGAAGTAGACAGAGCATTCATGAAAGCAGACTGCTGGAAGTATAGAACTCATCTTTTCCCGAATGCACTCAAAAGTCAGCTGCTACATCCAAAATCTTGATAATAGTCAGTCGGACAACTGTCAGGTAAGAATTGTAGCGTCGGTTAATCTGCAGAGCTGACAGCTTGCCCATAAAGCAGCAGCAGCGGCAGCTATTTCATCGCCTTAAAGAAGACGATGCAGTGATACGATAGCTCGTCCATCGCAGAGGTTGAAGACCTCCGCTGCCTTGAGGTTGGTGAGGTGGTGACTTGCACGCCACTTGCACTTAATTAACCCTCGCACCGCACACAAAGTCACTTTTGATGGCGTGATGAAGTCACAACAACTGAAAAATGAGTGAGTCTGCAGCGGCTGACGAAGTAATCACCCTGTGCCGGCACGAACACGTCTCAGTGAGCATTGACAAGCACACAACATCGCATTTATAAGTTGTTCCAGGCTGGCAACTCAGTCTGAAGAAGGGCCAAGCTAGCTCGTCTGTTGGGAAAGTCTAAAGCCACGAATACAAGCATGTGTCACCATGGTAGCATTGTCGCTGCGGTTCAGTGACCACTTATTCGTCAGACCATAGAGTCTGCGTATTTCAAAACTACAGTAAATAGACTATCTACTTCATGAAATTTCAGCCGAACTTCTGAAATGTGCTTTCGAGTCGAACATATGGTTGTAATATTGAGAAGCATGCGACGTAATCTCAAACTATTTCAGCCACCTCAAGATGCCGGCTTTTGAACTAGCTTCCTTTTGACCACCAACAAGAAGTGTATCCTGTAAAAATTGCTACTTAATTACTATGCCTTTTTCTCACTGATTTCACTGTCATCATAAATTCAAATATATCTTACAGAAAAAATTCACAACAATGTCTCTTCTTGTACTCGTTTGGTAGGAAATTAGGCCCTCTC